ACAAAACATATTAAACCGAAACGAAAGAGGAAAATAAATTATTGCAACCTAGGAAAGTGCGCTGTATAAATCAATTTATACGAATACGAATTTGTTTCTTTTTTGTTCGCGCGTTTATTCGTTTATTTGTTTTATGGGGGGTGGAGTAATTTTTTTGGGGGGTCAGTGTCCCCCCAGCTCCTAGGTCCTCGCTACGCCCCTGTCACAACCGCCGTAATCGGTTGGGTTGAACAAAAAATTTATCTTTAGTAAATTTTGTTTCACACAACCAACATGACAAGCATGTCTTTTATTCTTGTCCATGAGACGTTAAAGCTGCCATGTTGGTTTGCTTAAACAAGAGATTTGTTCTTAGTAGTATAGGCCGCACCGCACGGGCCGGATTTTCGGTGAGGATTTACTAATTTTGGGTGAGGATGGCTGAGGATGGCTGAGGAGCGGTGAGGATTTAATTATGTTCTAATATATACGTCACGCATTACATGTGTCATATGCGGTGGATTAATTTTTTTAATTACTTATTACCATAAAATGACGGGTAGGTATTGTGAAGTTGCCATGACGACCAATTGACGCCATGAGTTTATTGTTTGACAAGTTTGGACAAGTCTTTTGTTTACCAATCCAATTTATAGAACTCRGGGATATTGAATTTTTAACTCCAAAACTCAACCAACCAACCAAGCAAGCAAGACCTAAAAAAATTAACTTTTGAGAAACGCAATGGCTACGTTATTCCTGTTAGGCTCTCGAGGATATCACGCTACGGTCAATGAATTCAAAGGACTAATGAAAATTTGATGACTATATATTGTATCCAACACAATGCACTTAATGACTCATAAACGATAAACAATAAGACCTACTAAGTTCTTCCTAATTATGCAAAACAGTTGATAGATAATTTGTAACACCGTATGGTATGTAGAAATGAAACTGACGTCAGTTTCATTTCTACATACCATACGGTGTTACAAATTATCTATCTATCAACTGTTTTACTGAAAACACCGACGCAGTTTACACTAGTTTTCACTAGTTTTCCACCTAATTATGCAAAAATCAGCTGAAAATGATTAGTTCTGTTATCTTGTGCTATATTATATAAATAGCGTTCATTCTATTTCATACTGGACCGTAGTACAATGACTCTAAAATTCCCTAGCATTCAAGCTTATTAATGCTGTCATATCTCTTTTCCTTCAATCATTTTTTGTCACGTGATAAATAAGACACGGCATCAAAACAATTTTATGAATGCACAAATCAACAGGAAGCCCATATCCGATTTAGTTATTGAAAAACACAGGAAGCCCATGGCCAATTCTTATTTCCACAGGCAACCCATCCGATTTAGTTATTGAAAACACAGGAAGCCCATGGCCAAGACCATTTGAAATACCAAAATTAATAACTGATTTTATAATAATCTTATATCTGCTTATTTTTTCTATGATTGAGGGTCGATGAGAGGTCGATGAGAGGTCGATGCGAGGTCGATGAGAGGTCGATGAGAGGTCGATGTAAGATTACCTCCTCTCCTCCTGCTATCAGGCTATCAATAGCTTAACTATCAGGCTATCAATAGCTTAGCTATCAGGTTATCAATAGCTCAGCTATCAGGCTATCGATAGCTTAGCTATCAGGCTATCGATAGCTTAGCTACCAGGCTATCGATATCTTGTGTTTTTGACACAAATATCTGAAATCACTCAATGTATAAAACTATTATTATATCATCAATAATGTTATTTGCAATTTGTTAGTTAGGTACTTCCCTACGCAGTCTTTTCTTCGTCGTGCCCGCTAGGGTGACTTCCTACAGTATTCTTTGGCCCATACCTATCATGTTCATCCGGCTTATTGATGGCCTTAATTGATAGTCTCTTTGCAAAAATGCTTTATACTTGGTATTTAGTTTCCTTCGTGTCTTATTCATTTGTCTTATTCAACGCAATATCACATTCCCAGCTATTAACCACTTGTTATTTTATAATCCTAAATTAGAGGTTTTTCCTTCTTTTCACAGAACGATTGAAGACAAGTTAATTGCCATTATGAAGGTTGTGATGTATGTAACGTTTCTACTGAAGCTCCTACTAAGACCCTTAGCAACTGCTGCATCTTCATGTCCTGCCAAGCAATATTCTGGAAAGTTCCAAGCTGAGGACTACGAGAAAGACAGAGCAATAATTGGCCATTCCTATAAGAACCTCACCATCGAGCATGCTCAACAGTGTTTCAGCCACTGTGTATCTGATTGTAAGTGTCTGTCCTACCAGATTTTTGGCAAACGATGTGAGTTGCTGGACGAAGACAAAATAACTGCAAGCCTCCAACAGGCCTCGGGATACAAGTTCTACCCACTAAAACAAAGCTTTAAGGTACAAGGTCTCTATTTGTATACGTCAATACTCATTGCAATTGCAATTGCAATCAACGAATTAAAAAAGCATTTGAACCAAAATAAATTAGGTTTTTTAATGGTAAAAATAACGGTGGTGATGATGATGCTGATGATCGTAAGCTCGTGTTTAAACTTTCGATTCAGATCGAACAAGTTTTCGACGTCCGTTGTTGAATTTAGAAATTGATTTTTGCGGATTAAGGAAAACCGTAGAAAACTCAGAAAACCCTCAAAGCATAAATAAGAACCAACGAGCAACTCTGGTCACATATCATGACTTTTCACTGATCCATGGATCAAACACTCGAAACCATGCAGTGAAAGGCAGGGCATTAATTAGCTCCATCAGCATCACCATTGTCATCATCGTCATCATCATCATTACTGTCGAAAGAGAGATATGGGATAAATGTGCAATTAACAAACAATTATTTGATAGCATTCGAATTTATTTTTTCCTGATAGGCTAGTGAAGTAAGCTGTACAGGGCAATGCCGTAATGGTTGTTGTCATAGCAATCCGTGTATGAACGGAGGAACATGCGTGGAGACTTGCCAAAACGTCAATCGAAAATTCAAGTGCATTTGTCCATTGGACATTCAAGGTAAATATTGCCAGTTCATACTGTCATGTGCTGGAATTCCTGGAAATCCCAAGTCAGGTGTTCATACAATCACCAGACCATCTTTGAACAGCCAGTTTAAAGTCTATTGCGACTTTACATCCGAGCCGAACTATGTCTGGACGCTCGTGGAATCTTTTGAGCATTCAAGGGTGAAGGTGGGAATAGCCTATTATGATGACTGGGAGTTCTTTAAAGACCATCCTGTCARTGAATCAAGTCCAAACTGGGTCAACTATCGACTGTCACTTGAACACATGAAACACATCAAGACAAACGCAACACACTGGCGTGCTACATGTAACTTCGAGTCAGCTAACATATCTACTTCTGACTACGTTCGAGTCGAAATGAAGACACGAGATCTTATGCAGCCAGTCCCTACGTCATGCCACCAAGTTGGTTTCCTAAGGCTTCTTGGAAGAACCTGCTCTGGAAACTGTAAAACCCTTTTCCGACATGACTCGTATCACCCATATTTTGCTCCTTGCTATGACGACACCTGCAAATTTGTTGGCTGCTCCGGCGCTACTAGTACTCCGGCTCGTTTCGAAGCGTTTGGCACATATGAATTTTTAAATCCAAATCATCACTGCTTGTTATCTCCATCCTCCACGTCAAACTGGTGGATTGGATACAAGCTAAATTGAACTCCACTGACTACAGTCATGACATCTCGAGGATCCCTCCAATCATCACTAACGAAGATCTAGTTCTCATCATCTTGAACTTCCACGACAAATATAGATGCCGATGCCTAGTGTAAGCTATTCTCAATGCTAAAGATCTTTTGCAGTACCTCCACTTATAGGAACTCATTATCAGTCTTCGAAGACACAAGGCAAAGGATATACAAGTAACTATAGTCGGGCTGCCGGCATGTGGGTTAAAACGTTTGTTAAGGAATGGTCAATGCTTAGCATGTGTATATCCAGTTCTAGGTGCAAGCGGGAAGCTGCAAAGCACAAAAGGAGCGTTAGAGTCGCACGAGGCGTAGCCGAGTGCAACTCTAGCTTCTTGAGTGATAAAGCAACTTCCTAAGTGCATCCAGAACTGGATATGCGCAAAACTAAGCATTAACCATTGCTTTTATAACATAGCAAAACCGTAAACAAATGTTTGTTGATAAAACAAAATTCAAATACTATTCTAACGAAATCTTCATTACATAGCACGCGCTACTCCATTTATTTAGCAAATCAAAGTCAGTTTTCTATGGGTCTGTACTGTAATCGAACATGAAATGACGTCAAAAATGATCCAAAGTTTGCAGTGAAACCGCTCGTTTGGATCATTTTTGACGTCATTTCATGTTCGATTACAGTACAGACCCATAGAAAACTGCATGACTTTGATTTGTTAAACAGACCCATAGAAAACTGCATGACTTTGATTTGTTAAACAGACCCATAGAAAACTGCAGGACTTTGATTTGTTTTTTACCATAACAAAGTCGAAAAAATTGAACAAAAAGACAAGTTAATAGTTTGAAAAAGCCGTTTCTTCCGATCGCTCCGGCAATGCGCGTGACGGATGTCATAAGCACAAGCAGGTCTAGCCTCTAATCGACAATGGTTCTAAGCCAATCATCGCGCGAGAAATTTCCAAATTATGGTAAAATTCTGAATGCACGCTCACGCACGCTAATTAACCAATCAGAGCGCGTGTTATATCGTGGCTATGCAATAACATGTACTTACTTGGATACAATCACAATTAGAATAATCCTAAAGAAAATAAATGCAAGACTGAACWTTAATCACGATTGAGGGTAATACACTATTTGTATAAGATACATTATTTATTGCTATAGCATTGGTTTGTGAGTCGTATTCCCCATATTCCTAGTACTATTCATATCAGGTTGTACTGGGAACTGTTTTAGGAACTTTCGAAGCTTGAATGTCTTTCCTTTCAATTCCACGCCATATTCTTTACAAACAAACTTGAATTTTTTCCAGTTAAAGGATCTCTTTTTGCAAACTTTCACTTCTACCAATTGAAAGCAAGGAGCGCGAAAGACATTGAAATACAGACGGCCAACAGCTACAGATACAGGGCTGGTGATGTTCCATAGGCAATTGAACAGACGGTTTTCACATGAACAGTGGCTCATGTGCATTGGGTAGTAATTTAGAATGCCAAAACGTCGTCTGAATGAAGGAATAGTGGATGGGCAATGATCATGCTCTCGGCAGCAAGCATCTGTCTGAACATGTTTACCTTTAGAAATAAATATAACTATAGTTTTAAAATATTACTATAATATAAGAGACCATTGTTCAGTTGACCTCAGTAGAAATAAAAAGATATTCATTAAATAACATTAAACGATAAAAAATCCTTACCCAGATCGTCAAAGCTCATTGCATTGTTTCCTCGTCCACACCACTTCGTGCCTTTAAAGATAAAGTGGTTTTCTTCATTGGAGACTTGTTTCGTCTTCCAATCGTATTTAGCCCCGCTCTCATAAACGTGTATAAATATCACAGCAAGAACGAGACAGATATTTGAGCATAACTTCATGTTCGAACTGATATAACCTCCCAGTTTGAGATAATTTTATCACCCTTAGTGGAAACTCTGACACAGTTGCTTTGAAACACAGCCAAATGTTTTAGCTAGAAACTTTTAATTCCCGTGACCTAGAATGTAACCCTATGGTAGATACAGCGGAAGACAGTTAACTGATCCCTTCACGAAAATTAGCCAATCACTTGCCTCGTGAAAAAAACATACGATACAAGCCTGTGGAGGATCTTTCAAYATCTATGTCAGGCTAGAAAAGTCTTTTGGCAATCATAACAAAATGAGCTGAATTACCGACCTAAACTCCTACAATTTACAATCATTTTTTATATTTTTTTGAAAGCTATATATAAAGAAGAAGAAAAAGTTTTTCCCTACACCAGTTATACCCACTGACAACACTGAGTAAATCCCCGTTATCTCGAGTCCGATTCTGAACTTTTTTCCCCTTCAGATCAGTTTTTTTGTAGATGGATTGTAGATGGATCAGTAGATGTAAGTTCCTTTGGTAGTGCCTTTCCAGTAACTAGGCTGGACTGCAGGAAGCTGTTTAAGGAATTTGTTGGGCATGAAGGTCTGTCCCTTGAATTCTACACCATATTCTTTACACACGTACTTGAATTCCCACCAATCAAATGATCTCTTTTTACAAATTTTCACTTGGACTAAGTGAAAGCAAGGGACACGAATGACGTTGAAGTACATGCGACCAACGGCTATTGCTACAGGGCTGGTGACGTTCCAAAGGCAGTCGTAAAACTTCTTTTCACAAGGACAATGACTTAAGTGACTTGGATAGAGATTGAGAATTCCGAATCGTCTTTGGAATGGGAGAATAAATTCTGGGCAGTGGTCGTGTTTGCGGCAACAGAGGTCTGTTTCCATGTGTTCACCTGACAAGACAAGACAAGGAAGTGGAATTGAATTAATTTCCCCAATTTATATGGAATTTCCGCGTTCCAGCCAGTTTTTCTCTCTGGAGTTAGATGTCAATGAAATAGAGGTTCCCACTCCGGAAAAGGAATTGTTAAGATTAAAACTAATATAATCAGTAGAAATTAAAAATCGCTGACAAAATCTCAAAACCCGCAAATTTCAAAATAAGACTAACTCACCCAAATCATCAAAACTCATGGCATTGTTCCCTTTTCCGCACCATTTTGTCCCTGGGACGACTAGCTTGCTGTTGTCCTTCTTGATGAATGTCTTGGTTTTCCAATCATACATAGCTTGACACAAGGAAGCATGTAATATAACTGCCAGTATTACAAAGACCTTGGATCTGTATGATTCCATGATGAAAAGTCTTGTTTCTTGGTACGCACTCAAGCAGCTGTATGTATGTAACAGTCACCACAGTATGATTTACTGAACACTAAGCAATAAACATTTGCTTTATACACGGATCGCCGTGACCCGACGTCATTTGAAACCTTTCCAATTAACCAATCAACTGCTCGGTCTTTTTCTTTAAGGCCCCGTCCACACGTATCTGCAATTTTTTGTATCCGCAAAAATTTTTTGCGGGTACAGGTTGCGTCCACACATGTCCGGAAATTTTCGAAAACGGTCTCCAGAATAGAAATTTTCGAATACGCTCCGAATACGGATACGTGTGGACGGTAGTATCCGCAAATTTTCGAATACGCTGACGTAAACACGATTTTGCGCGTGCTCAATAAGAAAAACTATCCGTCAAAGGGACTAGGCACTAGCGTGCATCAGGGCGAATCAAGAAATTTCAGGATACGTGTGGACAGTGAAAACGATTCGAAAACGATTCGAATACGCTGCGTGTGGACGCGAACATTTTCGTATCCGCAAAAATAGATTTGCGGATACAAAAATCTCCGGATACGTGTGGACGGGGCCTTAGAACAGCATGTAGAACAATAGCTGCAGAGGTAATTGAGAGTTACTGCATGGGTAGTAGCCCTCGGTGGATGACAAGGTCATCTTAAATCAGTATAAACGAAATCTGATTTGATTTGATATTATCTGATATCATTTTTCTGATCTTTATTTCCTTTTTATTTCAGGGACCAAAGACAGTGGGCTAGGGGACTTAGGTCTCCACCCTTTCTACTCCTTTTTCCCAGCCCCCCCCCTCCTCCTCACTTTTAGTCATATATTTTCTATATTTTCCAATTAGTCCCCTTGATCCCTAGGTCCTTTTTTAACGATTTTATTTTGTTTCCTTTTATTCCTTTTTATCGCATTTTTCTTATTTGGTTTTCTCTCTCTTTATATTTTGATCACCCACGTGACACCGGTCTTGACAACGGTTGCTATCCGCCATCTTTGTGCCCCTCGATAGTAAACAAACAGACGCGACAGAGAGATATGTGTGAACTTTTCACTGAACATGGTGCATTGTATCGTAGTTGGTTGCGGTTCAAAGAGCGGTAAGAAAAAAGTTTCCTTTTCTTCAATACCTAAAGTGGTATCGAATCAAGGCGAAGAGCACGAAGAGTTGACACGAGAGCGGAGAAGGCTTTGGATTTCGGCCATCAGTCGAGGCGATACTGACGCGAAAAGGGTTCTTGAAACCGAACGTGTTTGTGGTCTTCACTTTGTCTCTGGAAAGCCTGCAAAAGTCTGGGACAGATATAATATTGATTGGGTTCCA